TGCCTGATGGTCTTATATATAACTAGCACCATTGAGTTGGAAATGAAAAATTGGCCATAAAACATGCATCGCAAAACCTTAGTAAAGTTGGGTTCATATGTTGACCTTTGGTGACCTGACCTGTGACCTGACCTGGTATTATCAGTGACCTCTAATAGCATCATATGTACTAGGCAACTGACGCCCTATCGCTGATTTTCGACAAAATGCGTTTTACTCGGTGTTATAGTGCATTAGAAGGCCTGTGAACGGTGAAACATTTTATCTTTGACCTGACCTGTGACGTCATTGGTGGTCCCGAGGTCAATGAAATTTGGATTCCCTCGCCAAATTGACAGGGCTATCGAACACCGTTTGAATTTCACGGATCCGTCCAGTATTTTCGGAGATACGGAGGGGGGAAGAAAATGCCCCCCCCCCCCGACCGCGCGGAAGGTGGCCGGGAGGCCCACCGCCGGCCTGCCGGGTTAACGATTGTACTTAAACCCTCGACTGGTCTCATGTTAACCGGTGACTCGTGAGCCCAGGTCTAGTGCCCAAGGTATAGTTTCTGTTTTTGGTAAGTAACTTCGCCAAAACAAAAAGAAAGAAAAAATGGTCGCAGAGCCGTGATTTTGGCACCATCGTGTTTGCCATGCCCAGGCGCGTCGAAAACCTTGCTTTTATTTTGGGTGAGGCTAATTAACCGGCGCCCCGTTGGGGTCTGCCGAGCAACTATGGGGTCTGCCGTCTGTTGGGGGGGGGGCAATTTGCCCCCCCCCCTAAGATCTCGAGAGCCACGCAACATAGCGACAAGCAGCAAACGGTGTTGGATAGCCCCAACAGGGATCTACCTTGTGACCAAATTTCATTGACCTAGGTCAAACTGATGACGTCACAGGCCAGGTCAAATGTCGAATTTTCACCGTTTACAGGCATTTCAAGAAATGCGTTGTAAAGTCGAGTAAAATGCATTTCATTGTAAATCATCGTTGGGAAAATATTCCTCAAACACATATTTTGCTATTTGAGGTCACTGATACCAGGTCAGGTCACAGAGGTCAGGTCACTGAGGGTCACAATATGAAAATATCATGTGATGCATGTTTTATGGTCAATTTTATATGCCAAATGCGATTAAGTGGGTCAAACAGCCTTTAATGTAAGTTAAGATAATGTTCTGGTGAAGGTCAGGTCAAGTTCAGGTCTAGGTCAGGTCAAATTAGGTCAAATTTCAAAGTTGATATTTTGCATAAAGCGGGTATCGATTCGATGCAGCTCGTCACGGGGAGTTCAATGGTGGTCTTTGTTTTGCGCTTGTTTTGCTCTAGAATTGCTGTAAATTGAGTTAAAAAATTTGACGTCATCAATGTTGAACAGTTTTCTCGCTATAACTTAGCCAAAAAGGAGGTATCGATCTAAAATTTGGTATGTATATAGAAGAGCGCAGAGGGACTATCACATATATTCCAATTTTTTCGAAATTCGAAAAAATGGGATTTTTTGCGTTTTTCTAAAAAATCAGCTTTATGAATTTTCGGGGGTCAAAATCTCAAAATTAGGACAATCCGAGATGGCAGTTTTGTAGCGCCGTTTTTTGTCTACATGACCATATAAAGAGCTGTGAAATTGCTTGGTAACTGTTGCTTTGTGTGTGTTTCAATATTTCATGTTTTTTGTTCATTTTTGATCGAACATGACCTCAGTTTGACCTCAATAACTCCTGACCTAGGGTGACCTAAGACTATTTGGACCCAAGTTGGAGGTACCCGCTCGCAATTTCGCACGTGCAAGACCAACCCTCTCGCTCGCTCCGTTGGTCGCCCCAAAAGGCGTTTTACTGGTTATAGGATTTTCTGTTGAGCAGCTTTTTTAACCGAAAATGGACGAACACGACTTCAGGTTGACCTCTGTAGCTAACGGCTTGAGAAGAGATAGAACCCAATTTTTTGGTAGCTGTAATGGAAGTGCGGTTTATTTGTCGACGCGTGAAATTGTGCACGAGAAGTGGAAAAGTAAATAATTATTTTCTGGGTCAATGTGGTGAGATGTGAGGGAGAATGACGCGGATCGACTTGGGAAGGATGTATTCTTACCAATATAACGAATACGAACGATCTTTTATTACAGGAGCTGCATGAACTTGATGTCCAGAGAGTTACTGAAAACGGTGAATCAAAGCTCGCGGCCGTTTTTGAGTTAGTTGCGAAAAACACAGGGTGGCTTTTCCCCCTCTCCAACGGGTTGCGGCTTAAATAAGTTTTTTTATTGATAAGCCGACCTTGTGATAAGGTACATTCATGCCGGGTGATTCAGTCATACCACCGATTTTCGCCACACCTAAAAAGTAATGAAAAGTAATTAGCAGGTTCGCGTTAAGCATTTATCACGATGCAACAAATTGCACGATTTTCCCCTTTTTGGCCAGGCTCGCTCGCTGTGTTCGTAATGCTCAGAGAACAGGGATGTGCGTCAGAATTGCAAGAAATACATTTAGAGGAAAACTCATGGTATTTACTACTGAGTCAAAAAGTCGTTTAGAAGTCTTTCCTAGCCAGTTATTTCCCCTCCCACTACGTGCAGCATCACGCATTTATTCCCTTCCAGCACCGATCACGGCCTTCACACAACCACCAAACCTGGTGAAGAAATCTCACACCAAAGTGGCAGTCACAGTCACACCGTAATCGCAGTTACAGTCAGGGTTGTATACGACTCAATCAATAGCAATCAATTCAATCACGACAAATTTGGGAAACCAATCAAATCAATCAAGTCAGAGCAGTTTTCGGGAATTGATTCAATCGACTCAAACGCGACAATGAAAGGAATCAATCAACTCAATCAAACGACTCAAACCAAGATATACATTAGGTTTTTTGCCCCACCAACTTGGAAAAGTGTCCATAGCAGTCTGGTGTACCTACCTACCTACCTACCTACCTACCTACAGAAGAAACAAAAATATTGTCATTTAAAATTATAAATTGCCATGCCATTCAAAGTTTCTATGTAATAAGGAAGGATACCTAGTGATGGACAGGTGGATCATGATATTGAGGTTCAATGGGTAGACTTGGAGCAGAAGTTTCATTTAATGGGTGCAAAATAACCCAGTAGTTGACTTCAACAAACGCCCCTTAACCCAAATCACCACCTTTCACCTAAAAGTTGTCAATTTAATTTTGGCCATATTCCAGCTAAGTCATCAGGCCATCTACCCCATGTAAAGCCCCCGTCTGTCTCTTATGTGAGTTATGCGGAGCTCTTCTGAATTGAACCCTGAACATAATGAACCTAGCTAGGTTACATGCCACACTGACACCATATTGATATGAAAGTGTTGAAAATGTGCTATAAATTTGACAACTTCATTAGGTATGCTTTATGAAGACAGCAGGAAAGCAGGTAGGTACCTACTTACCTGCCTAGATGTGTCACTGGCTACCAACAGTACCAACGAAGGTAGATAGGTTATATGTGAAGAATTCAAAACATTTTATTGCAATACAATTTGAAACTGTTAGGACTGGGGGATAGGGATGAGCATTAAAAATATATTTAAAAGGAAATGGAAAGGACAGGGACTCTGGAACCACAGGATAAGTTAAGGACAAAGGAAGAAGAACAAGGAAAATTAAATGCCGTTGGTGCGACTGCGAAAAAAAAAACAAAGAAAACGTTTTGCCAAGAAGTATGCTAAGCTTTTATAAATCCTTATTCTTCGTCTTTTGATTTTTTTTTGTAAGATGACGTCATTGATTATCATGTAGTATGGTAGATCATCATAAAATAAATCGGTTGTACAACACCAATTTCGTTTTAATTATTATTTCAATTGAAATAAAACCACTTAATAATATTCGGTAAAATATTTTAAGGAAAATGAAATATATTAAATATGTTATGCCTAGGCTCTCAGGAGAAAAGGATCAACAAACGTTCTGCTGCAAATTAAACAATGCAGCAAATTAGCTATTAATGTAAACGTAATTAGCGAGACGAAAACGGCGCTTTTGTTTCAGTTATTTTTGTAGGGGTTTCAGATATTTATAGAGTTCAGTGGGTTGTTTCTGAGGAGATGTGGGGATGTGAATTAGTAATTAATCACACTTTATTAGTATATAGGGCCTTGCACTTTATCATCTGGATTTAAAAAAAAAAAAATTCCTGCTGAGTGCAGAAAGGTAGGTAGGTGCATCGCCAGGTTCTATCACAGGATTGGAGCAGTTATTGCAGTTGAAAGTCAAAGTTAGCTGTTCATGTTTAGGCCCTGTTCTTTATTTGGCCATCTACTCCATATTGCAGTTGTGATGACAAGCAGTTTTCAGTGTAGTTTTGTGATCTTTGATGTCATCAATTGGTGTCATTATTTTTCGTCAACTAAAACTTATTTCATCTTTCCATTCAATCGACTCAATCATACGAGTCACTCTAATTTTCGGGAATCAAATCAGTCAACCAGTCGCTAAAGTCAAACGAGTCAGTCAACCAGTCATCTCGAAAAGTCAATCGACTCAATCCAATCAACTCAAAATACGCGCTGAATCAAATCAATCAATTCAATCGACTTGATTGGTATACAACCCTGGTTACAGTCACATTGCAGTCACAGTTACATCGCAGTTACAGTTACACCGCTGTCGCAGTCACACCGCAGTCTCAGGTACAGTCACACCACAGTTACTTTCTGCACAGTCACATAACTACACTCAGTTACAGTCACAACGCAGTCACAGTTGCAGTCACATCGCAGTCACAGTCCGCTAACAGGACTGGGCGCCTTCCACCGCTCGGATCAGGGCTGGAAGAAAAATAATCAGCGGTCCCCCACCCCACCCCCGTGCAGGTACTACGCGCTATGGACTTCCGGGCACTCACGCCGGCAAGTGTCACCCCGTACAAACAACTAACTGACTGGGTGCATCCCCACCGCGCTATAGGTGCACCTGACGCGCGCCGTTAACCACGGGGCAATGTGGGACAAGCGCCCACGAGGTAATGTGGGCCCACAGGGCAGTGTGTGGCGAGCGCCCACGGGGCGGTATAGGGCGTGGGCCCACGGGGCAGTGTGAGGCGTGAGCCTGCGGGGCAGTGCGCAGCCGGTGCGCCCGGCACGCTGGCCGCTCGCGGCTGATAGCCGCCGCTCGGGGGTCGGGGGTCGGGGGTGGGTGGGTCCCTATCAGCCGGCGGCACCGCGACGCGATCAGAGACCGACGGCGGCGGTCAGAGTGGGCGCTGCCACCGCGACTGGGAGATCCATCCGGTGTCACCGGCCCCCGGCCCGCACCCCGACCGCCGGCCGCACCGCCGGCAACAACTGAGAGCAACAGACAGACGCCCGACCCGGACCGGGTGGCCAGACAAACCCAAACAGGCCTGCAACAGCACAGCATGGTCTGGCTACTGCGCCAGAACAGGTGGGTGCTGCCCGACTGCTGACCCGCACAACTGTGTCTCGTGGCTAGACTTACAAATTCGACCCGTACCCTGGTCTCAGCCAGTCTCGCCATGCTGGTGCCTGGTAGTACACATAGTGGTGGTGGTGGTGGTGTGTCAGTGTGTGTATGTGGGGGTGGGGGATTTGGCCACGCTCGATTATACCGAAAAGTAGATAAGTTAGAAAGACGCGGGAAAAGCAATAGGTAGCTCAACGTAAGATCTTTCACTATGAGATAACTGGAGATCACTGGATCACTGGATAACCCGCGAGCTGCTGGGGGGGGAAGCGTTTAGCCCCCCCCCGCCATTTTTTTGCCGCGCTTTAGTTAAACAACGGCGCACCAATTTTGGTAACCTGTAGAGAATTATTGGATGTGACAAAAAGGTTCTAGTTGGCTTGGCACCACAATACGTAAGCGTCATCGGTACATACTACATACCTATATGATGAGCAGCGCACTTGATATCCAACGGTGACTCAAAACAGCCACATTTTTTTAGTTTGAACTGACCTGAAAGGTCAATGACTGACATGAGAAGGTAAAACAGGGTGTCATTGGATTCGTCTCTTCCCAACGAATCTTCTTGGTCTTTACCGCGAAGCTCTATCTCCAACAGGAACGAAATGGCGCGGGGGGGGGGGGGGGGTGGCAGCCCCCCATGTGCGTTCTAGGATGGGAAAATGCAGGGATGTGCGGGCGAGGGTTAACCCGGCAGGCGGGGGCGGAAGGTGGCGCGGATGGCCACCTTCCGTGCGTTGGGGGGGGGGGGGCATTTTTTGCCGCCCCCCCCCCGTATCTCCGAAACTGCTGGACAGATCCGGAAACTTCAAACGGCGTTCGATAGCCCTGTCAAATTTGTCGAAGGAAACCAAATTTCATTGACCACAGGATCACCGATGACGTCACAGGTCAGGTCAAAGATAAAATGTTTCACCGTTCACGGGTCTTCTGGGGAATGCGCTATAACACCGAGGAAAACGCATTTTGTCGAAAATCAGCTAAAGGGAATCAGTTGCCTAGTACATATGTTGCTATTAGAGGTCACTGGCAATACCAGGTCAGGTCACAGGTTAGGTCACCAAGGGGTCAGCACATGATCCCAACTTTACTAAGGTTGTGCGATGCATGTTTTATGGCCAATTTTTCATTTCCAACTCAATGGTGTTGGTTATAACACCATCAGGTACGGCTTAGGTCACTTTCTGGTAGAGGTCAGGTCAAGGTCAGGTTAAAAAAGGTCAAATTTCAAAGTTGATAGTTTTGCAAAGAATGGGTATTAATTCGATGCAGCTCGTCACGGGGAGTCTGATGATGGTCTTTGTTTTGTGCTACGTGGTCGAGAATTGCTAAAAATTGAGTTTAAAAATTTGACGTCATCAATTTTGGACAGTTTTTTCGCTATAACTTGGCCAAAAGAAGAGGTATCGATCTAAAATTTGGTATGTGGATAGAAGGTGGTAGGGACTATCACATTTATTCCGTTTTATCGAAATTCAAAAAACTTTTTGGATTTTTCGGCTACTTTATTCAAAAAATCTATTTTTTTATTTTTAGAGGTCAAAATCCAAACAGTTCGAAAATTTGAAACAACATTTTTTTTTAGCCCTGTTAATTCTACGAAAGCCCTGCCCTGTTAATCTCTCGAAAATTTGAAACAACATTTTTTTAGCCCTGTTAATTCTACGCTTTTTATGTCGAGATATTTTTTTGTATCTCTAAAGCTGTAGGCCTGACAGCTCTTCCCGTAAAACCTTTTTTGGGTCGAAAATGGCAAAATGACGTCATTCTGACGTCATTAGCGGCCAACCTATCATAGCCTTTGGAAAAATTTTGGTCACAATGTGCAATAGCTTTTCACGCGAGGGTACTGAAAGTTTGGCGACGATCGGCGCAGCGGTTCTGGAGATATATCGAAAAAAAACTAAAGCGGGTGGCAAAAAATGCCCCCCACCGCCTGGAAGGTTAACCCGCGCCCCACTGGGGTCTGCGTATAACACGCCCTACTGGGGGGGCTATTCATAGCCCCCCCTGCTAACTCCGAAACTACTGGGCCGATCGTCAAAATTCAAACGGCGTCTGATAGCCCCGGAAAAACTGTCGAGCGAAACCTAATTTCATTGACTTCGAGGTCACTGATGACGTCACAGGTCAGGTCAAAGTAAAAATTATTAGCATTTTGGCTTCTTCACGTTTTGGGCTCTGGCCGCCGTCTTACAAGTCAGAGCAGGCTCATTTTTGGTTCACACACTCTTGAACAGATGCTCTAGGTACTCTGAGGGTACCAAACTTGTACTTTGATTTCAGGTCAAGGTCAGGTCATCACAGGTCACGAAAATATTATATCATGCATCGGTCACGTGACACATGTTTTATGGTCCATTTAGGCCAAACATTTCGAATTTGATGTCGTCTGTGTTATTCGAGGTCATTTTGAGTCAAATTTCGCTTAGGGCAGGTCACTTTCAGGTCAAAAAAGGTCAAATTTTGAAGTTAAAATTTTTCAACAAAAAAGGTGTCTATTGGATGCAATTTGAGCTCAGGAACACGATGGTGCTATTTATATTGGTGTACGATGTCAAATTCGTGCTGAAAAATTGATTTGAAAAATTAATAATTGTTAATTTTTTGCAATAATGCGTATAACTTGGCCATTTTTGAAGATATTTAGCTAAAACTTGCTAGAGTTAGTCATAATAATGCGTTCTATCATATATATTCCGGTTTTTTCGAAAAGTTAAAATTTTTTTGAAAAAAATGTAAAAATATAAATTTTGAATTTTATTACATAAAATTTTCGACATTTTCAAAATTTCGAAAATCCGAGATAGCAGTTTGATAGCGCAGTCTATTCTGAGTCCTCTCATGCAAAGAAATTGGATCTAGCTTAAAAACTGAGCTCTTGGGAGCGATTGCCGTGGTTCAATGTTTTGCGTCGAAATCGGCCGAACATGACGTCACTCTGACGTCATTTCCGGCCAACCTATGGTAGGTACGAAGTTCAAATTTTGACACAAGGTGTCAAATTGATGCAGCCAAAGGTACTGAAAGTTTGGCGTCGATACGTCAAGTGGTTTGGAAGTTATTGCAGAAAAACGGGAGGGGGGGCTATAAATAGCCCCCCCCCCCCAGTGGGGCGCGGGTTAAAGCGTCTCTCCAAATGAAAACAAAACTGACGGTAATCACGCCATTGCGGTCAGCCAGCACCGACCCCGCCAGCAGCCCGCCGAGCAACCCCCTGGACCGGTAGGGCTCCTGGACGCCGGACGGCCCCAGCCCGGTCAGCCGGTGGTGAGGGTGGATGTGGTGCGTCAGTATGTTGTTCTATAGGTATGTGTTCATATGTGGTGTGTGTCTGTACTTGACGTCGAACCGACGGCTGTGATGAATATCAGTTTTGTCTGAATGTCAGTGCTGTGTTCGCAGCTCTTCTGGTGAGGGCGGGGGCGCCGACGGCGGGCGCCGGGGCGCCGACCGCGAGCCGTGTCTGCTGCACGAGAATCACGCCTACTACGGGGCAGTGACGGACGGCTGTGCCGACGAGCTACTCACCCCGTCCGGTGAGTCGGTCCGGTGAGCTGAGTGGGTCCGGTGAGTCGGTCCGGTGAGCTGAGTCCGGTGAGCTGAGTCCGGTGAGTCGGTCCGGTGAGCTGAGTCCGGTGAGTCGGTCCGGTGAGCTGAGTACGGTGAGGTGAGTACGGTGAGCTGAGTCCGGTGAGCTGAGTACGGTGAGTCGGTCCGGTAAGCTGAGTGGGTCCGGTGAGTCGGCCCGGTGAGCTGAGTCCGGTGAGCTGGTGAGTCCGTCCAGTGAGCTGAGTCCGGTGAGCTGAGTCCGGTGATCTGAGTCCGGAGAGTCGGTCCGGTGAGCTGAGTGGGTCCGGTGAGTCGGTCCGGTGAGCTGAGTCCGGTGAGTTGGTCCTGTGAGCTGAGTCCGGTGAGTTGACCCGGTGAGTGGGTCCGGTGAGTCGGTCCGGTGAGCTGAGTCCGGTGAGCTGAGTGGGTCCGTTGAGTCCGTCCGGTGAGCTGAGTCGGTCCGGTGAGCTGAGTCCGGTGATCTGAGTCCGGTGATCTGAGTCCGGAGAGTCGGTCCGGTGAGTTGACTCGGTGAGCTGAGTCCGGTGAGGTGACGCCCGCCGCTTTCCGTACTGCCACTGCAACGATAACGCGCGTGCAAACCGTCTTCGGTCTTACCTCTGAGCAGTTCCATCCCCAGCGGCCGAGTCGGTACCAATGCAAACACCATTACCAAGTGATGGTCCATGACAAACACCATTACCGATTGATGGTCCCACGTCATCCGACACCATTACCGATTGATGGTCCTATAACAGCAGCAACCATACCGCACCATTACTGAGTGATGATCCTACATCCGACACCATTACCAAGTAATGTTCCTAAATCAGACACATTTAGCGAGTGATGGTCCCACAGCAGCAACCATTATCGATAGCTGGTCCCATGGCGGGCACCATTACCGAGTGGTGAGTGTCCCGCGTCAGGCACCATTACCCAGTGATGGTCCTAAATGAGACACCATTATCGAGTGATGGTTCCACGGCAGGCAACACGGCAGGCACCACCATTTCCTCTGCAGACACCATTACCGAGATCTGGTCCTACATCCGACACTTTTACCGATGATGGTCCAATGAGCGACACCATTACCGAGATGGTCCACGACAGACACTATTACCGATTGATGGTCCTGCATCCGACATCATTACCGATGGTCCGGTATTCACCTATGGCAGCCAGTACTCCTGAGGCTGCCAAATGCTTTTTGAGTGGAGGAAATTGTTAGAGGTTAGTTCGAGCTTATCATGCATCGTACCTATATTAGAGAAACTGGGCGTCACTCAAGTCAAGCACCGTGCTTCAGCAACTCTTTACGTATCGTTTTGGCCGTCCCTCGCGCACACCCACCTCCGCTGACCTGAAGCAGTCCCGGCCTGGCCTGTGGCGGCGCAGGACGTCACTCGATGGCCCGACCTGACCGGCCCCGACCCCTGTCTGCACCGCGCCTGCAGGCTGGGGCGCGCGGCACACACTGGCTGTGCTCGGCTGTCTGGGGTTCTTCGTGGCGTTCGCGCTGCGGGTCAACATGTCGATGGCCATTGTGGCGATGGTGAACGGCACGGCGCTGAGACTGCTGTCCCCCCACAACGACAGCGCCGGCGGCGGCGGCCGGCTCTGCACCGGAAACCGCACCTACCTCATCGGAAACGACCTGCAGCAGGTCAGTCCGCTGCCCACTCTGTGCAGCATGTCCGCGAAAAGTAACGACTCACCTCAGCACCACCAACCTCAAAACTACGGGGCATGCCGAAACTTTGCTGAAATTAGCGGCTCATATTAGACACTAACTCAAAAAGTTTTCTTCTATTTAAAAATGAAAGCTTCATTCCAAGACATTTCTCAGCCGTTGCCAGAGATAAAGCGATGCCCAGTTGACTGATGTGTGGCACCGCCTCTGCTCTCCCCGCTGGCAGGACGGTCCGTTCGTCTGGAGCGAGCTGACTCAGGGCGTCATCCTGAGCTCCTACTTCGGCGGCTACCTGGTGTCGCAGGTGCCGGCCGGCCGGCTGGCCGAGCGGCTGGGCGCCGTGCGCGTGCTGGCCGTCGGCCTGGCCGCCGCCGGCCTGCTCACCCTCCTGACGCCTGTGTGCGCGCTGAGCGGCGTGCCCGCCCTGGTCACCATCCGCTTCCTGCAGGGCGCCGCCAGTGTGAGTGGACGCCGGACGCCGCCGCCCCGGCGGAGGCTCAGCGGCCGCGTCACACGACAGCGCTGGGCGTCGTGTGCGGACGGGCACATCTACCTTAGATCGAACTACACTAATTGTCCCCACATATTTTATAATATCGGCATCTGCCAGCCTAGCTGGCGAGGTGGTGAGCGGCCTACCGTTGGGTGCGGCCGGATGGGTACACCAGTGCGTGTACTTTCACTTTTCCGTCAGCCCCTCTGTTCTGTAACGTCTGGGACAATGGCCGCTGTCCAGCTCGAGCCATTGCTATCGCTGTGTACAGCCGTGCCCGTGTCTGTCTACATACTCTGGTGTCTGACGGAGTGCTGTCTGACCGAATAGTATCTCATCCACTAGTTATAGTATCTGACCGACTGTGGCTGACCGGGCGGTGTCATCAGACCGCCTGCTGTCTGACCGACTGGTGTCTGACCGACTGTGTCTGACCGGCTGGTGTCTGTCTGACCGACTGGTGTCGTCTGACCGGCTGGTGTCCCCTCCGCAGGGGGTCACCACGCCATCCATCCACTGCCTGCTGGCGCGCTGGGTGCCGCCCAACGAGAGGAGTCGTATCAGCACCTTCGTCTATGTGGGTGAGTTCCGGACATTCACTGATACATGGGTAACTCTTTGCAGCTACAAGTGAGCATCACTGCATGCGATATTTATTTTTAATAATATATTATATTGATTTCAAAATTTGTATATTTCATCAAATTTCAGGTCCATTTTCAGGTCTTTTTTTACTTCTACACAATCAACAGCAAAAAAAAGACGCTCTCACGACTCACTCACGCAGGCAGTCCGCAGTGGCCCCAAACAAAGAACTCGATGAACGCAGCCTTTGACGTAAGGTTGATCTCACTGGTTACTTATTGTATCTTACGTGATGAGAATTAAATACCTCAGAATCAGAATCAGACAGGTTATCTGCATGTTTATTCTTACAAATAGACTAGACATCACGAGGAGCCGGGGAGCGGCGGCAGACGGTACATGGAACTGCCCCGCTGCTGTGGAGAGCAGGTAAGTACTGCTGATACGGCCATATCGCTCACTAGCGGCGCGATTTACTCGACACTTGAGACGACTCTATCGGCTCCGCTCCCCGCTCCCGTGTCTGCCCCTCTCCCCTCTCCGGCGCCGTGTCCATACCGTTCGTCTCTCTCAGTCCCGCGTCCGTGCCGTTCGTCTGGCTCGGCGCCGCGTCTGTTCCGCTCGTCTCGCTCGGCGCCGCTCGTCTCGCTCGGCGCCGCGTCTGTCACGCTCGCCTCCACCAGAGGCCGGTGCGCCGCAGCCAGGCCGAGCCCAGCCTCCGGTCGAGTCGGAACATAGGTCACATTCAGCACGATCGGGCCGGCGAAGGGCGCGCTCTGCACCTGCACGTCCAGCTCGTGCGGCAGCGGCCCGGGCAGGGAGAGCGTCTCCCGGCCGCCGGCCGTCTGGTAGGTGAACCGCACGCCGCTGCCCTCGTACCAGCCGGGCCGGCGCACCCCGCCCGGCCCGTTCAGCAGGTACTGGCCCAGCGCCCTGACAAACAGCGCCACGCGGTGCGGCGAGGCGGCCGTCTCGGCGATGGTGACGGCGGTGGCGCCGACGGGCAGTCGCGCCACCAGGCTGTACTGGGTGACCGGGATCAGCGTCAGCACCCGCCGCTCGACGCGACACCTGTGGTAGCTGTCGGAACCACAGCCGCCGCAGCTCTCCGCCGGGCGGCTCTGCGGCGGCAGCAGGCGGGTGCCGGCACAGTCCAGCGCGCGGCACGTCCCCCGGACACAGATGGCGGGGCGGTCGGCGGAGCCGCACGACACCCCTTCAGGCACGGGCTCGCCGTGCTGGGTGCGGCCGTCAGTCGAGCGCACACACCAGAAATGGCAGGGCAGCGCCGCCGAGTGGGTGGCCAGCCAGGTGCCGACCGGCTGCTGGCGCCGGCAGAACGCCGCGCGGGGCTCCTCCCAGCAGCGCGGCAGGCCCGGGCACAGCCGCACCTGCTCGCCGTCTCCGGCGCAGCGGCCGGCGGCGGGCAGACACTGCCGGCGGCGCCGCTGCACGCCGGCGCCGCAGCTGCGGCTGCACGTGCCCCAGCGGCCCCAGGAGGCCCAGTCGGCCGGCGCCGCCGCCGCCGGTGGCCGGTGGACGGGTCGACAGTGGCCGTGCACGCACCAGTGGCCGGCGCCGCACGGCGTGCCGTCCAGCGGCGGCGCGCGCCGGCTCAGACACCGGCTCGAGCCGGGCGGCGCGCACCAGAGCCGGGCGCACTGGCGCTGCACCGAGCGCAGCCGGCAGGGCCCGTACTCGGGCCCGAACTCGAACTGGCACTGCTCGGCCACCGAGAGCGGCCGGTCCAGCGAGCTGCTGACGGGCCGGGCGTCGGCCGCCGCCGGCCGGTTGTACAGGCACGTCCACCAGCTCACCTTGCTGCTGTACTCGTGCCGGCTGCAGTTGGACCAGAAGAAGCGGTTGTAGGTAGCGCTGATGAGCGGCGCCATGACACTGCCCAGCGGCGGCGCCCAGTCGCACTGGTCCGACTCGCCGTCGTGCGTCAGGCCCAGCATGTGGCCCAGCTCGTGCGCCACCACGAAGGCGCTGCTCAGGCCCTGGTCGCGGTTGATGGAGGCGCTGCGGCTCGGGTCGCAGGCGCCGGAGACGGGCGCGTAGCCGGCCGGCCCGCCCAGGTGTTTGCGGGTCAGCCAGATGACGGCGTCGCGCGGGTCGGCCAGCCGCGCGGCCCACTGGTTGACGGCGCGCAGTGAGCTCAGCGGCGAGCGCGGCCGCACCAGCTCGCCGCCGCTCTCGATCAGGTAGATCCTGGTGACGACCACGCGCAGGCGCGCCTGCAGCGAGCTGTCCTCCAGCACGGCCGACATGACGTTCAGCAGCGTCAGCACGTAGTCCAGCACGCGGTGGCGCCCGTGGAAGGCGACCACCGACTGGTCGGCGGCCACCACCAGCTCCAGCCAGCGCGGCCGCGCCAGGTCGGCCGCCGTGGCCGGCAGCCGGTACGCGCCGGCCGGTGTGGCGTTACCGGCCGGGAACCACTGGTCGCCGATCAGCACCCCGTGCTCACCGTCCTCCTCCCGCTGCTCCGCCGTCCGCTCCTGCTCGAACGGCTCGACTGTGGCGCGGCTCAGCAGACCTCGTTTTCGCCGACGCGCTGACACGTGACGCGCCACGAGTCGCGCCACGTTCAGCGAGCGCAGCACGTGCGGGCCGCGTGTGTGGCGCACGTGCTCGGCGGGCTGCACGGTGACAGTGCGGCCGTCGGCGGCGATCACGGCCCAGACCCCGCGGCAGAGCGAGAGGGCCGCTGTGCTGCCGGGCCGGCCGGGCACGGCGCCGCGGTAGAGGCAGCGGCCAGCGGCGCGCCGCCCACCGCCGGCGCCGGCCGACCCCAGCCAGGTGACGGCGGCCGGCAGCGGCGACGGCGCGGCCACCACCGTCCAGCGCTGGTGGCCGCCGTGCAGCCGCACCAGCACCCGGCCAGAGGACAGGTGAGCCACCTGCGGCCGCACCAGCAGGCCGCGCGCCCCGCCGGCACACAGCAGCGCGGCCAGCAGCGCGGCCAGCAGCACGGCCGGCGCCCGGCGCGGCGCGGCCGGCGCCGGTGGAGCGGTGCGGCCGGCCATGGCGTCCGAGCGGGCCGCCACTGGTCGGGGCGCAGCGCCGCAGCCGGTCACCGACCTGGGCCGAGTAACCTCCACTGGAGCAGACCCGGGCCGAGTGATCTCCACTGGAGCAGATCTGGGAGTGACCTCCACTGGAGCAGACCTGGACCGAGTGACCTCCACTGGAGCAGATCTGGGAGTGACCTCCACTGGAGCAGACCTGGACCGAGTGACCTCCACTGGAGCAGATCTGGGAGTGACCTTCACTGGAGCAGACCTGGGCTAAGTCGCCGCCACTGGAGGAGACCTGGGCTGAGTCGCCGCCACTGCAGCCCGCCCTGCCGTCTGGGGCGCCCGAGTGCCGCGCTGCGTCTGTTGGCCGCGCTCGAGTGTCGTCTGTCGGCCGCAGTCCAGCAGGAAACGGGGCGCCGGAGACACACACAAGGGCACCGGGTCACAGGATGTGTCGCACGCAAAAACGCCCGTCCACTGCAGGGCCGCCACCGGCCGGGAGGCGGCATCAGCGCGCGCTGGGCGGCGTCTGGGCGCGCGTCGGAGTTGGGGTGCCGGGCGCCGTGTTTTACCGACTGACACGCCATGGGCGGCGGCGGTGTCTGCAGTGTGTGGTCTGCAGGACGGCGCGTGGTGTCGGCCCGGCCCGCCCGGCCCGCCCACAGCCGCCGACTCTGTTTATGTGAGCGGTGATACAAAAAGGTGAACAGCCTTGACACCGTGTAATGTAACAGTTTCAGCGCTGCGAAACTGGGACAGTTTTGTGCGGACATTGCTGCCTGGCGGTGCAGCCCAGCCGTCTGAACCGTCAGAGCAGTTTACAGGCTACACTAGGCGTGACATGTGCTACTCCTTATACATTTTTGAAATTTCTCTACATTATAAAATACTTCCTTTGATCATATCTCCGTCAGAGCACATTCATTTGATTCTAGTTGAAAGTAGATATGAATCCACACTCTCATTCTCCTTTGCGGCACACCATCGTTTTTGTGTGTGTGTGTGTGCAAACAAGATGCATTTTGGGCTTCTGTTACAATTACGTAGCCTAGTGGCGATAAAACTCCCTAATGTCATCGCTCCCGAGCCAAAGTATGGCAACTAACTGGCACTGCAAGTTACATAACCCCCATTCCACGATACAAATGTAACAGTGTCGCGAATGTCATATCGGAAGTGAATATGAGCATGCTCAGTGATGTGCCACATATGTACAAGGTGTGTTCTTAGGTAGCTGCTAAGTAGCACCAGATGCCGTGTGTCGACAGACGCCGGGTAAGCAGCCGTGTGTTGTCGTGTGTCGCCAGGTAAGCAGCCGTGTGTTGTCGTGTGTCGCCAGGTAGGCAGCTGTGTCGTGTGTCGCCAGGTAAGCAGCTGTGTCGTGTGTCGCCAGGTAAGCAGCTGTGTCGTGTGTCGCCAGGTAAGCAGCTGTATGCCGTGTGTCGCCAGGTAAGCAGGTCGCCAGGTAAGCAGCTGTGTGCCGTGTGTCGCCAGGTAAGCAGCTGTGTCGTGTGTCGCCAGGTAAGCAGCTGTGTCGTGTGTCGCCAGGTAAGCAGCTGTATGCCGTGTGTCGCCAGGTAAGCAGCTGTATGCCGTGTGTCGCCAGGTAAGCAGCTGTGTCGTGTGTCGCCAGGTAAGCAGCTGTATGCCGTGTGTCGCCAGGTAAGCAGCTGTATGCCGTGTGTCGCCAGGTAAGCAGCTGTGTCGTGTGTCGCCAGGTAAGCAGCTGTGTCGTGTGTCGCCAGGTAAGCAGCTGTATGCCGTGTGTCGCCAGGTAAGCAGCTGTATGCCGTGTGTCGCCAGGTAAGCAGGTCGCCAGGTAAGCAGCTGTATGTCGTGTGTCGCCAGGTAAGCAGCTGTGTGCCGTGTGTGTGTCGCCAGGTAAGCAGCTATGTCGTGTGTCGCCAGGTAAGCAGCTGTGTGCCGTGTGTCGCCAGGTAAGCAGCTGTGTCGTGTGTCGCCAGGTAAGCAGCTGGGCACGGCGGTGACGATCCTGAGCGCCGGTCCGCTGGCCGGCTGGCGCTGGGCCGGCGGCTGGCAGGCCATCTTCTACGTGACCGGCTCCGTGACGCTGGTGTGGAGCGTCGCCTGGACGCTGCTCGTGTACGAGACCCCAGCCGACCACCCGCGCATCTCCTTCCGCGAGCGCGTCTACATCTACTCACTCACCTACCAGGGCTCCGGCCAGGTTAGCGCATCTACATCTACTCACTGACCTACCGGGGATCCGGGAAGGTTAGCGCGTCTACATCTACTCACTGACCTACCAGGGCTCCGGCCAGGTTAGCGCGTCATCTAATCATTGACCTACCGGGGCTCCGGGCAGGTTAGCGCGTCATCTACTCATTGACCTACCGGGGCTCCGGGCAGGTTAGCGCGTCATCTACTCATTGACCTACCACTCGAGACAGGTTAGAAAGCCACTACCAGCATGGGCGGCGCCACCGGGGGGGACGGGGGGGACAGGTCCCCCGCTATCGAAAGTTAGGGGGTACAGTACCCCCCTATCGGCGAGGCCCGTTCAATAGTTGATAATAATGCATTATAGAGCTATCCGTCGCATTTAATGCATCGTTGGTTAATCAAGGCAGGTTCTGAATAAAGATTGCTGTTGGGATGCATCGCAGGGGGTCCTGGCCATCTGCAAAAGGTGTGGAGCTGTGATGCCTGTAGTTATAAGGTGATCGGCAGGGCCTCGGGGATCGTGCCCCCTTTTTGGGGCGGCAGGCAGGGTTATTACTTATTACCTCCCCACCCCACTGCCAGACCCCATTGCCGATAAAACCAAGTTCACTGAAACTCCATAGATTTCCGTTACTATATGAAAATTTTCCATTCCTAATTAGTCAAATTCAAGCATGGCAGTTCTACCACAGGGACCATTTGAAATCTATGCCATTTAACCCCAGCACTTGTGGGGAGAAGTGTTCGGATAGATCACAGGCAGGACCAAAAAAGCACACAGTAGCCCAAGACCTTATAATTGGATAATGGATATAGCATCGGCTCCCTCTCGTCAAGGGGTTCGATAGCACTCGTTTTTTTTTTTTTGCAAAACTAAGTTCGGTCGGCGGCCGAACGGCTGGGGGTCTAATCGAGCCCCCCCCCATCCCTCCCCTTCTTACGTCAGCGGCTGTGAAAATGCCATTACCAGCTGTTGAAACATGGCAGTTGCTTTTGCATGAGTGCACGAAAGGGTTTTAGGTCCGTGATACGTGAAAGGTTCTACATGAAAATTGAGATACACCAGCTTATCAAATTGTGCTCACTGTGGTGCGCTCGGTTTTACCTTGACTAGTCTTTGAATTCTGGGGTGAAACAGACCAGTCAAGAAACCTGTTCCATAAGGAGAGCCACTAATGCTAAAGAGATGTGGGATGAGGTTTCCAGAGACCTTCATTACCTCCTAAAGTGCCCCGCCATTTGCCAGTCCCTGCTGTAGTTGTTACGATTGGAGGGTGAATATGAGAACGATGCAGGTCGTGCCAGCTCGATCATGACGAACACAATGGTGCCGACATCACAGCTCTACTGCCATTTTTGACGAAGTTAATCAACAAGCACCGGAATCCTACCCTGGGGCATTTCACCTGCAGAGGTCGCCGAACCTGAGACCCTTTCACTCAATTTTTTTTCAACGGTGCATGCGCTCGTTTTTCCCGCGAAGCTCTTGGTAAGTAAAATCCATCAGAAAGTGTGATCAAATAACGGCTGGTGACCTTCCATGACCTAGCATGGCCTTTTGAGTGACCACCGATGACATGACCACTGACGGCTAGCCATTAGCTGCACCCTGCCCGTTGCATATGGATCAGGTGGTGATGTCATGATTCTGAAATTATATTGCAGTTTTGGCGCACTTGTCAGAGCAGAAGATATTCCCACTTTTCCTCCATGACTATATGATGGTGAAGCCCTGAAGCTGACCAGACGTAAGATCGAAAATTTGAAAGTACGAAACGTAAGAATAGCTGGCACTGCTACTCATACCTAAGCAATTCGCAGCTTGTAGGAAACCAGCTTTGAGTTGGCAAGACTGCAAATTTTTATTTAGAGGCAAGGATGCTTGAAAAGGTGATCGATCTTAGGTGTCCTAGGATAAGTTTGGAAACGGGATGCACCATTCGATGTGTTTTGGGCCTTGCCAAGTTTCGCGGCGTTACGTGCCTCGTTTTTTTTTGCATACACGATCAGTATCTACTTTTGGGATTTTCGGTCCCCGTCCCCCCCTATCGAAAACCCGTGGCGCCGCCCCTGACTACCAGCCCCTGATACAACGGATAGACAGAGACACCTTACATACACCGCCAGATAGAAGGTAAATGCGCATTAGGTATAGGCAGATCTGCAGCTGATGCTCAGAAAAAAAAAACTGTTTGCAAGGCAAGGCGCTTTGTCAGCTTATATGTTTCACTATGTACTCACTCGTAGTTTACGATAAATAAAATGGCAATGCTAGTTCAGTTGAACTTTTATTTCGCTGCTGATCATTTATTTCTGTGAGCAATTGTGAAGTTGTTTTGGCGTGGTTGCTGCACAGTGCGCACACGGTCGGTACCTCTTATCAACTTCCGTGCGCCGTCTGTCGCACCAGCGGAGGTATACATATGTCTGAGTGGCTGACCCTCCGCGTGGACCGTATCATTGAAGGCTTATCTGACCCAGGGCACTCTTAACCCGCGCCCAGATGGGGTCTGCCGAGCAACGTGGTCTGATGGGGGGGGGGCCATTTTGGCCCCCCCTCAGATCTCGAGAACCACGCAACATAGCGACAAGCGGTAAACGGTGTTGGATAGCCCCAACGGGGAACTACCTTGTGACCCAATTTCATTGACCTCGGTCAAACCGATGACGTCACAGGTCAGGTCAAAGGTCGAATTTTCACCGTTTACAGGCATTTCAAGAAATGCGTTGTAAAATCGTGTAAAATGCATTTCATTGAAAATAATCGATGGGGAAATGTTCTTCAAACACATATTTTGCTATTTGAGGTCACTGATACCAGGTCAGGTCACAGAGGTCAGGTCACTGGGGGGGTCACAATATGAAAGTGTCGTGTGATACATGTTTTATGGTCCATTTTACATGACAAATGCGATTATGTGGGTCAGACAGACTTTAGGGCCAGCTTAGGTCACGTTTTGGTCAAGGTCAGGTCAAGGTCAGGTCAAGGTCAGGTCAAATTAGGTCAAATTTCAAAGTTGATATTTTTGCATAAAATGGGTATCGATTCGATGCAGCTCGTCACGGGGAGTTCAATGGTGGCCTCCGTTTTGCGCTACGAGCTCTAGAATTGCTAAAAATTGAGTTCAAAAATTTGACGTCATCAATTTTTAACAGTTTTTTCGCTATAACTTGGCCAAAAAAAGAGGTATCGATCTAAAATTTGGTATGTATATCGAAGAGCGCAGGGACTATCACATATATTCCGGTTTTTTTCGAAATTCGAAAAATTTTTGGAAATTTTTTGAGTTTTTCTAAAAAAATCATTTTTTTTTTTTGATTTTTTGGGGTCAAAATCCCAAAATTTCGAAAATCCGAGATAGCAGTTTTGTAGCGCCGTCTTTTCTCTACACAACCACATAAAGAACTTTAAAATTGCTTGTTAACTGTAGAATTGGTGAGCGTTTCAAGATGTCATGTTTTTTGCTCATTTTTACTCGAACATGACCTCAGTTTGACCTCAATAACTCCTGACCTGAGGTGACCTGTGACTTGAAATTTTGTGTGAAGGTGTCAAATTGATGCCCGGTAAGGTACCCAAAATTTGGCGGCGCTGCGCGCCGCCGTTTTCTCACTATTTAAGAAAAACCACAGGGGGGGGCCAAAATGCCCCCCCCCCATCAGGGCGCGGGTTAAAGAGTCATCTGACCCTCCGCGCTGTGCCGTTCCAGCGGAGTTCGGTGCCGTTTCCGTGGAGACGCGCGCTGAGCTGTCGGCCGTTCCAGGCGCTGATCGTGACTCAGTTCTGTCAGAACTGGGGCGACTACCTGATCATGACCGAGCTGCCCACCTACATCAGCACAGCGCTGCGCTACCCGCTGAACACGGTGAGGGGTCGCCCCGCGCCGCCCCGCCCCGCCGCCCCGCGCTGCCCGCCACCTATGGCGCGGTAGCGGCGACTTCTGCGGGCTGCCCACTTGCCACCACTGTCCGGTCTGTGACACTGGGGCCTGTCCGGTCTGAGACACTGGGGCCTGTCTGATCTGAGACACTGGGGCCTGTCTGATCTGAGACAATGGGGCCTGTCCGGTCTGTGACAATGGGGCCTGTCCGGTCTGTAACAGGGAGGCCTGTGCGGTCAGACACTGGGGCCTGTCCGGTCTGTAACACTAGGACATGTCTGCTGGTCCAGTGTCCATCTTCTCGACATCTTAATAGTGTTTTGCCTTTCATAAGTTCTGTTGTTGATGTTCAGTATCATATTATCAGTTACCTGTTGCGATAACCTTTGGAGCTTAATTTATGTGTGTGACCTCTGGCCTGTGACCTGGCCAGAACGCCATGTTTTCGGCGCTGCCCCAGCTGGCCAAGGTGGTGTTTGCGCTCGGCGTATCATTCGTGGCCGACTGGCTGGCCAGGGGAAGTCGGCTCAGTCTCTCCGCTAACCGCAAGCTCTGGAACTCGATCGGTGAGTGGATGGACCGACTGCACCGAGCTCCTCGGAGAGAGAGGGTGCTCAGACACCAAAACTACAGCTCGAGTCTCACTTACGGCTCAGTCTCAATCTCAGCTTTAGTTACGTACAGCACGAACGTCAGTGCCTGTAAAACATCTAAGCATATGTATGTACTTACATATTAGAGGTGGCAAAATGTGGACCCGAGGACCCGGTCCAAAGAACCAGTCTGGACCCATATGGGTCCAGACCGGTTCCTGGAAATTTTCTGACGGGCCCAACCGGGTCCTACCATAAACTATACATCTTGCACACTACACATTATTGTAGTGTAGTTATTGTAGTATCAGACAAATGTGAAGTGAAGTAAGTGAACGTTTCTTTGCACACAGTAGCTCATGAGTATTCCCAATTGGAAATAGGCTGTTTTACATGATGTAACTGCCAACTAATGATACCTACAAGTAGTTTGCATTAGTTGACTTTTGGGGAACGGGTCCAACTGGTTCCGATTCCAACTAAGACCGGGTCCGACTGGTTCCAGAAATGTCCAACCGGGTCTGGTTCGAGTCTGGTTCCCAAAATGTTCATCTTTTGCCACCTCTATTACATATGTACTCGTACATAAGTACCTTTGGTCGGATTCCGGTGGATGAAATTCTGACTAGATAGACTGCACAGTAACTTCATTTCTTTTTTAACCCTGGGCCCTGTTTCACGGCCGATAGCAGTACACTGCTATCACACGTGTCAAGTTGGGTTTCCATGGAGACATCAACAAACTCCTATCTCCAACATTACCACAATCTGTGACGTCAGCTCGCGAAATGCGATTAGCGATAGCAGCATGGTAGCAGCGTCCAGTGAATCACCGCCCTGATACTATGTCGCCAACACTAAGTTTTTCATTTCCTTTTTCCTGACTTTTCTTTCCATCTTCCTCTTTCTTTCTTTCTTTCTTTTTTTTTCTTTCTTTCTTTATTTATTTTCTTTCTTTCTTTCTTTCTTTCTTTCTTTCTTTCTTTCTTTCTTTCATTCATTCATTCATTCATTCATTCATTCATTCATTCATTCATTCATTATTTCTTTCTTTCTTTCTTTCTTTCTCTCTCTCTCTCTCTCTCTCTCTCTTTCTCTCTCTCTCTCTCTCTCTCTCTCTCTCTCTCTCTCTCTCTCTCTCTCTCTCTCTCTCTCTCTCTCCTCTCTCTCTCTCTCTCTCTCTCTCTCTCTCTCTCTCTCTCTCTCTCTCTCTCTCTCTCTCTCTCTCTCTCTCTCTCTGTCTCTGTCTCTGTCTCTGTCTCTCTGTCTCTCTGTCTCTCTCTCTCTCTCTCTCTCTCTCTCTCTCTCTCTCTCTCTCTCTCTCTCTCTCTCTCTCTCTCTCTCTCTCTCTCTCTCTCTCTCTCTCTCTCTCCTATATTCACTGCTATGCCACTCCATGCTGAATTATCTAACCACGCGTGTGTTCTATCTGTTACTTCCCACCACGCTGTCGGCCTGGTGTTGTCGTCGACTTACAGCCCCGCCCCGCCACAGGAATGTACATACCGGCGCTGACGCTGGTCGGTGTGTCGTTCGCCGGCTGCAGCGACGTGCTCGTTCTCACACTCATGGTGACCACCGTGGGATTCAACGGAGCCGTCCTCTCAGGTCAGTGCACACTGCACGTGTCAGCAGAGGTGCAGAGGTGCATATTAGCTGATTTTAAATGATTTCAGAAGCCCAGCAATTATGTAATAAAACTGATAAAGTTAACCCGCGCCCCACTGGGGGAGGGGAGGGGCTATTCATAGCCCCCTCTAGTTTTTCTGCAATAAATTCTAAACCGCCAGACATATCGACGCAAAACCTTCAGTGCCTTCGGCTGCATCAATTTGACACCTTGAGTCAAAATATTAACTTCGTAGCTACTATAGGTCGTCCGGAAATGACGTCAGAGTAACGTCATGTTCGGCCGATTTCGACGCAAAACATTGAACTACGGCAATTGCTCTCAGGAGCTCAGTTTTTTAGCTAGATCCAATTTCGTTGCATGACAGGACTCAGAATACACTTTGCTATCAAACTGCTATCTTGGGTGCGCAAAATTTTGAAAAACTGGAAATAATTCATATTAAATTTCAAAATTTATATTTTCATCTGTTTTCGAAACTTTTCCACTTTTCGAAAAAAAAACGGAATACATGTGATAGAACACATGCCCATTATATATCCTAGCAAGTTTTAACCGGATATATTAAAAAAAAATGGCCATTCGATATGCATTATAGTAAACATTTCACAATTACTAGTTTTTCAAATCAATTTTTCAGCTTGTATTTGACATCGTCCACCAATATAAATAGCACCATCGTGTTCCTGAGCCCAAATTGCATCAGATAAACACCTTCATATTGAAAAAAATTCTAACTTTGAAATTTGGATTTTTTACCCTAAAGTGGCCTGACCTCAGCTAAATTCTACTCAAACTAACCTCGAATGGCATAAATGACACCGAGTTCGAAATCTATGACCTAAATGGACAACAAAACATGTGTCACTTGACCGATTCATGATATATATTTCCGTGACCTGTGATGACCTGACCCTGACCTGAAAATCAAAGTACAAGTTTGATACCCTCCGGGTGTCTAAAACATCTATTCACAGGCGCGTAAACCAAAAAATGAGCCCTATCTGACATGTAAGCCCAAAATGTGAACAAGCTAGGCATCGATAACTTTTTCTTTGACCTGACTTGTGACGTCATCGGTGACCTATGGTCAATAAAATTAGTTATTTTTTCGACAGTTTTTCCGGGACTATCAGACGCCATTTGAATTTTGACAATCAGCCCAGCAGTTTCGGAGCTAGGAGGGGGGCTATGAATAGCCCCCCCCCCCCCCCCCCAGTAGGGCGTGTTATACGAAGAGCCTAGTGGGGCGCGGGCTAAAATTGAATCTTTGTTATAGCCTTAAATGAAATCTCAAACGTTCTCAAACTCATCCCGCATAAAGGCTGTTTTAATCGCATGTTAAAAACTAGTAAAACGCCTTTTGGGGGAAGAACGAGCGAGCAAGAAAGTTAGCCCTGCACTTGCGGAAGGGCGAGAGGATACTTGCAACTGGCTTTTGTACTGCACTCTACTAGCCGGTCACTAGCGGTGTGCCAAATTTGAAGGCAATCGACTCAGCCGTTCCCGAGATCTGGAAGCGGCACCCTTCACGTGAGCACGTGCAAACTGGGTCCAAAATGCCTTTTGCACGGGGCTCTACCAACCGGTCCCTAACTGCTTACTAAATTCGCGAAATCAGCAGTTCACGAAATCTGGAAACGCCCTCTGCACGTGCCCACGTGCAGTAGAACCCTAACCGTAACGCATGGGAATGGATTGCTTTAAAGGTGCCCACTGCCCATCTGTATTCAAGTTTCAGCGGAGGCGCCCCAGCTATTTCAGAGTAATTGTAACGGGAACAAATTTGACACCTCGTTTTGTTGCCTTTTGCGAGAGAACTGGGGGTGGCCCACATGCATCGAGAGTGTACGATGATTGGAAGAAAGGATGCAACTACCCTACAAAAATTACCGCAAGTCAATCGCCCAAACAGTTACCAAGATATATGTATACCTCCCAAAAGCGCTAAATCTGTAGAGCTGCTTGAACACCCTTGGCTTTTCACGTGGCACGTGCCACGACGGTCACCTAAATGCATCAAGAATAGTCAGCCACGAGTTAAAAGGAATGGGGCTACCCAACAAAAAAGACCGTATGCCAATCGACCCAGTGGTTGCTGAGTTATAAGCCTCTCAAAAGCGCTACAGGCCGGGCTGGGCCGGGCCGGGCCGGGTCGGGCCGCTCATACTGACATTCTTCCGTTATATTGAAAAGACTTCGCTTCGCTCGCTCGCTCGTAATCAAGGAGTTTATGTCTCCATGGAAACTGGTGGAGCAGGCTCCACCAGTTTTATAAGAATACACACACACAGAGAGACACACGTACAGTGTGCACACATACGAAACGGCATCCAATAAGTATCTTTTAATAACCAGTAAAACGCCTTTTAGGGCGACTAACGGAGCGGCCGAGATGGTGGGCCTTGCAGGTGCGAAATTGCGAGGGAGAGCCTCCAACCATCTTGTGCACTGCACCCTACTAACCGGTAGCGATGTGCCAAATTTGAGCGCAATCGGCCGAGCCGAGGCCTCTTGCACCAAAATCCTCTTGCACCAATGCTTGGATTATTTTGCATCGTACACCCAGTCCAAGTCTCAAATGTAACAATTTGCGTGCAAAATTTAGCAAGCACATGTAGGATTATGTATTGGGCTATTGCAAACAAATTTACCACCGTTAGATTAGCTTATTCTGAAACCGGTTTTTTCGATTTTACCTAGCTAGGTAGTTTGGTGCAAGAGGCCTCCGGTCTCGAGATCTGGAAGCGGCATCCTGCACGTTCGCACGTGCAAAATGGGTCCCAACTGACTTTTGCACTAAACCCTGGACCCTACTAACCGGTCCCTAACCATATACCAAATTTTAGCGCAATCGGTTCAGCCGTTCGCGAGATCTAGAATCGACCCCTGCTCCCGCACGTGCGCACGTGCAGGAGCACCCCAACTATGACACATGGATATGCATTGCCTAGTGGGTGCCAACCTACATGCCAACTTCAGCGCAATCGGCTCAGTAGTTACCGAGATACAATAGAAAAACACAATTATAACGAATAGTGTTTGTCTATTTCAAACAACCTGCGGTTATTGCAATTGTTGCAAAACTGACACCTATTTGTTTTGCACCTGGCACGTGCATAAGAGGTCACCTTCATGCATCGGGAATAGTCCAATACTTGGTAGACGGAATGAAGCTACGACGCGGGCGGTTTTATTTTTGCGGTGTTTTTGCGGTTTATTTTGCGATTTGCGGCTGGCGTGCGTTGGTTTATTGTTTTTGTTTGCAACGTTTGCGTTGGCGTTTCGGGCGTGAGTTTTGCGCGTTTTTCGGTGTTTGTATTTTGCGGCGGGGGGGCGTTTTTCACAATTCAAAGTCCAAACCTTCGGGCCTCAACGGTCCTCGAAAAGCGCTGCCCTCGAGTAGACGGAATGAAGCTACCCTACAAAAATAACCGCTTGTAGGTAAATCGGTCAAGTGGTTGCTGAGATATAAGCCTCGCAAAAGCGTCCGCACGGCCGGCCGGCCGCTCATACTCAGACATTTCCGTTAATCTACGAAGACTTCTCTCGCTTCGCTCGCTCCGTAATCACGCGTGCAAAGAATCGATGTTTCATGCATTGCATATTCAACATAGAGGCTGACTCTAATCAATGGCTCGCGCATATGATGAACACCGACAAATTGAAACATGCTGATGCTGATATCAGCTTTTGCGTTGCTCATAAATTGTTAAAGTCAACTTCTGTGTTTTGTTAAAATTCTTGCTGTACAGCTCAATGAAACTAAATTTGAATTGAATTCTACACATTTTGCATAAAATCACATTTAATTTAATGAGATGCCTAGAACAAAAGTTTGCGTGGAAGAATACATAAGAGATAGAAATAACCGATCTTTACGAAACTCAGACTCATTCGACAGCCAAGAGGGGGACGATGACTGCCCTCCGGAAGAATGGTGCAACACATACATCGATCCCAATACCGGCGAGTCAGTCAAGGAGCAGTATACAAAAACGTTTGAGATAAATGGCGGACAGCGCTACGAGGTCGAAAAATGTGTTGTGACCAGATCGCCGCCTCCATCTGCCGCGCCGTTCAAGCCCTGTCCGCCGCGACCGCGTAAAATGTTTTATCGACCGCCGCCAAAGTGCTGCCAGCCTTGCTGCAAGCCACCGCCTCCACGATGCCAGTCACCTGTGAGAAGGGGCTGTAATTCACCACCTTATGCACCCCAAACCAAACAGCTCAGGACTGTGGAGAGCAAACTTGGACAGCTGGACTGCCGATTCCGTAATGTTGAAAAGGCCCTGCAAGATGCTATTGTCGCTTTAGGACGGATTCGATGAAACAGTGTCACAAAGATGTGAAACAAGTCTTTCTGTTTTGGGTGGTTTCTATATAATTACATCACTGACTAAATATAGCCACCACTGGCGCAACGTGCAAGCAAAGAGAGGCTAAGCAAAACACCTTGCTGAAATTACTGAAGGCCGACAGTCGATCCACTACATATCGGCTATCTGATGGAGTTTCGAGTAGTTCGTGACTTGCGTGCCCCGGCCTTGTTTTCCAGGCACTTTTGGATAAATGTCCTTGTTAATTAAGCGTGTGTATAGTGTACACGCATGCGCGCGTCCATGGTAAAAATAATCCATTTTGTGATAATATTTCGGCACAAATATATTTTGTTCAAATGAAACTTGCCAATGATTGCAAACTCTCAGCAGACATGTCCGCTGACATCGGGTATGTCCGCATGAGTGCGGTTACGGCTGCCCTGCAATACGACCTAACTGTACACATGAGAGGGCATGCAAGGCCATAGGGCATGGTGAAAACTGGTAGCGGATAGCAAGGGCATGGTTCAAACTGGTAGCGGATAGGAGGGCATGGTTCAAACAGGTTGCGGATCGGTTTTCTCGCCGGCCTCGGATTAAATTGTTTTCAGTGCAGGAACGCTCACAAAACTTTAAACATTAAAGACGACTTCGTG